CTGTTCAGACACAGTGAGATGTATGAAGGCTCATTTGTGTGGTTAGTCCAGACCCAAAGATGCTCCAGTTTAACATTACCAAATGCAGGCATGCAGCTGCTCATCACCTAAGCCCAGCACCCCTACCTGGAACACAGTCTTTCTGAACTGGTCTCATGAATCCTGCAGACCCTCATATTTAGGGTTAGGACTGCTTTCGACCTACAGGCTGACATATTTTTCTTATTTTAACAGAAGTGGCTTTTTCAGCTGCAAGAGATACTACAAAATGTTTCCTCTTCTTTAAACCCAAATGGAAGTCTTTTAACTGTTTCATAATGGTTTTTAACCATGTGATTTGATTTAGACAGCAAAAAATTTAGCTTGCAAAATTCTGCTCAAATGCTGAGGCTTTCCACACTTTTAGGGAAAACTCTAGATAATAGGTTTTAGCTTTTTATTGCTTTTTTTTTGGGGGGGGCATAAATTTGGGCTTTGCTATTTGTTTTATAGAGATGGTCCTGCTACGTAGACTAGGCTGGCCTTGAACTTGGTGATGCTTATGTGTGCCACCAAGCCAGTTCTAAGTTCAGGCATCATTCAAGACAATCAGTGACTGCCCTCAAGTCACAGATGATTATCTTCTCTATGGAGAAACAAAGGGTCTTCCAAGGCAGGGTGCCACAGGCACTTTCAATAATCAACAGCAACAGGACATGAAAAAGGCAGGGCCAGCAAGATGGCTCTATGGGGAAAGTGCTTGGTGCACAAACCTGATAACCACAATTCAATGTCTAGAACTCCTATAAAGGTGGAAGAAGAGAACTGAACCCACAAATCATCCTGCGACCCCCCCCCACATGCAGTGTGGCATGTACTCGCACACACAATAAAACTTCAAGAAAGGAAAAAGGGGACAGAGATGAAGTGCTAGACATGAAACCCAGCACCATGTGCATGAGACACATGACCAATGCTACATTCCTGGCCTGGATCCAGTATGAGATTGGGCGCTACACAGTGAAACCCCATCTCAAAAAAACAAAAAGAAAAGAAATGGTTACGTGGTGGTCTGTATGCTGCTGGTCAGATTTTAGTTGTTTGGAGAGAGCCAAGCAAGGATGGGGACTAGCAGAAGACAAACCAGAAACTGCCAGGAAAGCAGAGGAGGCTTATGAGACCAGCGAGACCCTATTTCAAAAAAAAACATCACTCAGAACAGGTGATGCCTGTAAATCCTGTGCAGCTGAGTTGGTGAATGGTTTTGGTCTGGGGCTAGCTAGGGCTATCATGAGACCCTTAAAAACAACAAGGTCTGAGAACAGTTGAGTAACCAACAAAGCCCTGGATCTTATCTCCATTTCTACCAAACCCCAAAGAATTGGTGGCTCCCTTTCTTCAGGCCAGCTAGTGCATTTTCCAGGCTCTTCTGTGGCAGCAGGCGAACAGCACTCAAAGGTATCATGTCCTAATCCATGTCCAACAGGACCGCATATGGATGTACGGGTATTCAGAGGTGAGATTTCCTGGGGTTACACGGTGGCTCCTAAATGTGTTACAAGTGATCTCCTAAAAGGCAGAGACAGACTGAACACAGACAGAGTGACAGTATGATAAGTGACCTGCAGAGACTGGAAAGGGCCACAGCCAAAGAAAGGCCAGGAACTGTCACTCAGTGGGTGTAGTGTGTGCGTGGCAGGCTTGAGCGTGATCCTTGGCTTGGAAAGCAGATAAGTGTCCCTTAGGGCCCTGGGACCTACTGTTCTGTATTTCTAACCTCCAAGCAGCCCAAGAGTAAGTTTGGGGTAAAGTAAGCTACTGCGTTTGTAAACGTGTTAGAGCAGTGATGTCAGATGCATGCTGGCAAATGTTTTTACCAAGGAGCCACAGCCTTAATCCTTCAATTTGTCTCTGAGGTTACAATCTACCCTATGTCAAAGCTGTGGCTGCCAGTGGGACACACGTCACTGCCCAGCCAGCTGTCCTCTTGCAATGTACTCAACGAACTATTATTTTAAGGGGAAAAAAGTTGAAGCTATAGAGCCCTAAACATACCCAGACACATAGGCAGTTTTGGAAAAGCAAGTCCCCCGACCTCTTGCCACAAACACGTAGTTTCCTATGGAAAATAAGGTCAAAGGTCTTTCCAGTTGTGTGGTTCCACAAGCAACCCGAAAAGACTTAAGGGAGTGGGGTGCGCTGCTGCTGTCCCTCCTAACCTCCTTGGGTGGGTGACACTCTTCCAGTGCCACGTCCTCTCAGAGCACACTACTGAGAACTGAAAATTCTCCGATTTCAGATTTAAAACTGCCTGCAAAGAAACATTTAAAGAGGATTTCAGAGGTAAAATCAAAACTTTAGGTGGATGAGTCAGTCTTGCCTCCAATTCCAACCTGTAGATTGGAGAAACATGCAGAAATCCCATGGTCCAGAAAAGGGGGGGGGGCAGGGAAAGCGGCCCCTCAAGTTTGGGTCAAGCAGGGAACGGTAGCTCATCTCCAACCCAGTTCAGACAGCGGACTTAGAGGGCGTTCTTCAAGCTAGATCCAGACCCAGGAGGGACGCATGAGTGCACGCAGGACCAACCCAGGGCTAACCCTTCAGGCAGCTCACTCTACTCGGGGCTTTTTCTCTGGGGCTTTCAGAGCCCATCCAAACACAACAAATTCAACAGGTGACAGACACCGGTTCATCCAGGCAACTCCCCCCAGCCGCCGGCCGGAGGTGGAACTGTGGGAGCGAAACACGCAGACAAAACGTTAGCAAAGGTGTGGCGAGTACACGGGGCTCGCACCCAGGGCCTCCTAGACATGCGTCCTACCACGGGGCTGCACCCTCAGCTCCGTTCTAAAACAACAAAGCGTAGCTCAAAGGCTGGCGACACTGGGCTGGGGAACCCAGCCACGTGCGGACTCCTGAGCCTCACCTCCTTCGGGTACAGTTCGGCCGGCAGCACCGCCTGCAGGTCTATGAACATCGTGATGGGGATGTGCGAGACGAAGTAGAGGCCCAGCAGCCACTCGACGCAGCGCTTGGCGGCCACGGCCCCCATGTTCCCTCTCGTCAGTTGAGGAGCTGCTGAAACGCCAGCGCAGGCAGCTCGCGAGGGAAGAAGCCCCGAGCCCGCGCTCCGTGCCCCGCCCCCGGCACGCAGGCCGCGCCTATTGGCCGAGGGGAAGAGAGACGCGGCGCGCGAGTGGGCGGTGGCCCTCGGGGCCCGCCCACTGCCTAGGCGGGCTGTGGTTGGAGCGACGGCCCACCAACTGTTCCCATTGGCTGCCGCGAGTGCCGCGCGACGGGGCGGGGCTCCGAGCCGTCCGGGCCGGCTGGTGCGCGGGCGGTGCGGTCCCCGGGGCCCCTGTCTTTCTTTTGCTGGCTTCTGGTCCGTACCCGGACCTGCGGCCGGTGGAGCCGGAGCGCCCCCCGCAGTGACGGTGCCGAAGCGCTGTCAGCCTTGCTGTCGTGCTGGCTCCAAAATCACTACCCAGCCCACAAATAATGAGCTATTATATGCCAGATCCTGATAGGCTTGGGACGAGATGGGGCTGCCATTCTCTGAGAAGAGGGGACACAGGAAGTGGGTTCAAGGGAGAGTAATTCAGTGTGTGCTTGCAAACAATGAGCAGGGTTAGGGCTTGGGTGTTGCTAAATATAGAGCACTCAAAAATTCCTGGGTTCTAGCTCCTGTACCATTTAAAACATACCCCCAAAGGGCCCAGCGTGTCCTTACAGTACAGCTAAGGCTAGAGAGAGCTGTCTCAAACCATGCAAAGAGACCTCAAGCAGGCTACGGCATCTGGGTGAGCATTCCTAGCCAGCAGTTGGATGAACCTTTTCTAGATTTCTAACACAGCGTTTAAAGATGACTGAAGGTTAGAGAGCGAAGAGCATTTTAGAATCCTAAAGAGGCTCCAACCTTGGAGGTCATGGGAGGAGATGGACAAGAGAATGGCAGTCACGGGGAAGAGTGCGGCAGCTGTGTTTCTGGTAACACTGAGTGGTGTCTGCCAGCACCAATGAGTCAGAAACCATATGGCTGTAGCGCAATGAAAGGAGGAAATGGAGACAGGAAGGGGTGGATAAAATGGATCCTGTATGTCCTTCTCTTTTGTATTTTTTGAGACAGCCTCTCACTGTGTAACCCTGTCTGGCTTGTAGCTGGCTTTGTAGACCAGGGTCGGTAGCCTGGACCTCAGATCCACCCTGCGTCTGCCTACTATTATGCCTAGGTCATGAGACCCCCAAGAGACCACCAGGAACATGAGTCCAATGCAAAACACACAAGGGTCTTTATTCAAGCTTGAGCTTGGGCCGCAATCCCTCCTGCCATAGCAGGTTGGGAGAGCAACAGCCAGCTCCAAGGGAACAGGGTTTTTAAAGGGAAAAACCCGCAAGCAGGGACCTTAGTGGTACATGATTGGACAAAAGGCAAAAGAATGAAATGCACGTTGACCTAGTTGGTTATCAGTTCCTGGCCAAACCACAGAGAGGAGCAGTTTGCCAAGAGGAGCGCTGTGACCCTGGGAACAACTTATGTTTTCTTACCCAACCCCTTCTTTATCTGCCTCAGTTGCTGTATCTAGCTGCAAGCTGCTGAGAACATTCTGTGTGTGTTTTTTTAAAGGATTTATTTACCATGTATACAGTGTTCTTCCTGCATGTACACCTGCACACCAGAACTCATTATAGATGGTTATAAGCCACCATATGGTTGCTGGGAATTGAACTCAGGACCTTTGGAAGAACAGCCAGTTCTCTTAACCTCTGAGCCATCTCTCCAGCCCCATTCTGTGTTTTTTTTCTCAGAACTTAAGGGTGGGAACCAAGGTACTCCAGAAACAAGCTAACCTTAGATGGAGTCTGAGAAACAACACAGAATTAGTTCTGCTAATTTAACTCTTTCATTCCCTTCTCTACTTGTAACTATGGAGGCCAATATTGGATTCTTTAGAGATCTGATAATTGGTTATCAAGCTGTTGATATTGGGACCTCATTACCATTAACCAAATAGTTCCCAATCTCTGTCTAACGAAGGCAATCAAACTATTTAATATGCAGGGGCTGAGGGTAAGCACAAGCAATATCAGCAAAGGTTCTGTTAAGTCAGAGAACAAAATAGTAAACCACGGAGAAGCACTAAACCAAGATTCAAACCAGCTTTGAATCTTTTCATGTTTAGCCAGGTTTTCTCTAACCTTAGCCAAGGAGAACTATTTTACCAGGATTTAAACCATCCTCTGGATCCTCTCTTTCCAGTATCTCTCCAGGCTTTTTGTTGTTTTTGCTAAGGAGTTCCTAATCCTCCCTGAGTGGTTTACATAAAAACCACCTTTCTCTCTAAGTAGGTGACTGAGTTCTCCAGGCATTGAATGTCTTTATCAGTCTCTGCCTTTAAGCTGTTATGATTCCGGCTTTCTACATCCAGCGCTGAAATACCAGTTCCTGCTCCAGCTAAGCAGATCCCCAAGGTAATGGCTCATGTCAGGGGGCCCCTTTTGACTCAGCATCTCAGCCTGTAAGGTAGGGTAAAGGATGATGAATCGCTCTCTTCTGCAATTTCTTCAGGCTGACTTTGGGGCAGAGATATTGAGGACCCCGGGAAGGCTGAAAGGCTAGTCAAAGGCTAGGCAAAAGGGCACCGTCTAATTAGTGATCCAGTTGAAGAGACAGGGACCATCACATCGGCTAGACTGGTTTACAGCTTTCAGCAAGTCCAGATTTCAGTTTGCAGTCCATAGCTGATTCCTGAATGGAATCTGTCAACCAGGTGAAAATCTGCTGAGACAAATTCAAACTAGAGACAGAAGTTAAAATTTGTCTAGTAATTAGGGAAAGAGAGGAATCGCAGGACAAAGGGAAAACTTCATCTGGGGTCTGTTTGACCTATGGCAGATCCAGGTCATCATCATCGTCATCGTCATCATCTCCTCCTCTTCCTCCTCCTCCTCCTCCTCTTCTTTTATGGCTGGAGAGATAGCCGTGGGTGCTGGGAACCAAACTCTTATATTTTGGTTGTAAGCCCAGCCTTTAATGGCTGAGCCATCTCTCCAGCCCAGATCCAGGTCTTCTGACATTTTTGGTTTTCTGAAACTCACATGAATTTTAGTTTACAAAAGGAAGTATATTAGCATCACCATTGTATTGAGATCCATACTTTAGAAAAAGCAGGTAACAGGTGTCTGCAAGACAGCAGAAGTAGACTCATGGCATTAAGATCTAGTAAAAGCTATGGCTTTTGGGTCAGATAAGCACATTAGACAAATATTTTTAGCATAATGAGAAGCACCTTTAAGTCTGTCTCCAGAAGACAACCAAAGGGGAATTAAAATCTCAAGCTTGTGACTGGATAATAAGCAGTCAATGCCCCATCAGCTTATCAGAACTCTATTGATCAATGTCAAAACTCTGAACTTCTGAAATCCTATAACAATATAAGTATAACAATAGCATAGAAGGGGGAGAAATCTGAACTATCTTCTATTTTAATATGCCTTAAATTATTTTTATATCATTATAATTTATATTCATATATCTTAAAATATCTATTTAGACTTAGACTCCAATTTTTTAGATCTTTACAACTTAAACTTTTATATCCTCAGACCTTATATAAACTTTCTATCCATCTTTCTATCCAGTTATTCGCCATAAGTCACAGGCAATTAACATGAAGCTTGTGAGCAAGGCAAAGCTCTTTGCCTTTCTAAATAAGAGATCTAGTACCTAGTAGTTCTAACTAGCTAATAAGTTGACCAATGAAGTAACAGTGGATCTAAATGTCTGCTCTTTAGCTGCAAAGCAACTATTAGCTTAGCTTAGTCGTCAATGTGATCAGAGACTTGAGAAGGATAAATTATAAGCTAAATAAATGTACCAATCTATGTACCAATCAAAATGACAGAGATGACCAGTCAATCCACCACCTAGGCAGTTGTCTCTGGCTCCTATGGTCTTATGGCATCATGAACAGAGGCGGTCCAGCCATCAGGCACAGAGGATGAGAGACTGTTTCTGTGGAAAAGAAGAACATGAGAGACTGATCTCATCTCGCCTTCAGCAATGTGAAACAATGACTCTCCAAGTGTCTACAGCTCTGCCCAAAGTTTAAGCTGGGCCCTAGCAGTGGGCCAGTTGGGGCAGTCTTGCCCAGTGGTTAGCATACCACAATCCAGAGGTCGAAGTTATCTGTCATTGTGCTCAAATCTTCTTGGAGACCTGGGGGGAGCTACTGCCAGGATGTTGGGACTCTCTGTCATAATAAGCTCACACAGTTAAAATGCCATATTCCACAGATCTCTGACAAGCCTGAGGGCCAGCATCTGAGTTACTCTTTGTCTATCCTCAGTTATCTGCCCTAAACTGCATCCTGTAAAACAGAATGCTATAATCACTGATTCTAACATATTCCTTAAATAAATGTTGGCTGCACTCCCAAGCAACCCAACTCCAGGAAGACCTTGCCGCCAGAGACCTGAGCATTGGCAGATCCAGGGCCTCCCAGAAATGGGCAGGAGTTAAGTCTAGGGAGTTAGAAGCAGTCTGTCCCATTGGGTCTGTTACAGTCCAATACAAACAAAGACACATAAACACAAGGAACAGAATAGAAAAGCAAACACAAAGCAGCCGCTCTGCCACTGAAAACAGAAGTGAATCCAAAAACTCGGACTCACAGACTCCTGCTGCGGAAATGGAAAGCAGCAGAGAGAGGAGAGTAATTGATGGTGGGACGTTCTCTCCTCCACCGAACCCCTCCCAACTGATGGTGGGATCCCTCATGCACCCCAGGGCCAGGGACGTCTCCCTTGCCCCAGCAGCTGTAACTGTCCAGCGCGTCCTCTTTTGCTGCTTGTACAGACACCTCGAGGCTTTTCAGAATTGAGAGTAAACACAAACACAGACTCTGCACAGAGACACTTACGCCCCTACTGGCCGGCATAAGACCCTCCGTGTCGGGGTCCTGGAGATCTAGGGGATCCAGGATGAGCTCCTAAATGTTATGTGTAGGTCATGAGACCCCCAAGAGACAGGAACACAACTTTGATGCAAAACACACAAGGGTCTTTATTCAAGCTTGAGCTTGGGCCGCAATCCCTCCTGCCATAGCAGGTTGGGAGAGCAACAGCCAGCTCCAAGGGAACAGGGTTTTTAAAGGGGAAAAACCCGCAAGCAGGGACCTCCAAGCCTTAGTGGTACATGATTGGACAAAAGGTAAAAGAATGAAATGCACGTTGACCTATTTGGTTATCAGTTCCTGGCCAAACCACAGAGAGGAGCAGTTTGCCAAGAGGAGCACTGTGACCCTGGGAACAACTTACGTTTTCTTACCCAACCCCTTCTTTATCTGCCTCAATTGCCTGGCTGTGGTGCTTACAGGGAAGTTCTCTGGCGATTTGGTGGATGCACAGTTCCCTGAGAGGAAGGTGGGGGAGGGCAGAGTCCTCTTTTAATCACAGATGTGGCCTTGGGGAGTAGGGAGACAGCTAACCTGGCTTCAATGAATGTGGGAAAATGAACAGCTGTGCTGTGGGGATTCTAAGCCCTGGGTAAGGCCAGGTGCCAGTTTCTGAGGTGACTGCTGAGGACTCGAAGGTCAGTGAGTAGGGAGAAGCAGCAGCAGGGGCAAAGTCTGAGTAGATGACCATTTGAGAACAGAGTTCCACTATCACGTTGGCTTGCCCCGGACCTCAGGGCCACAGAAGGAGTGTTCAAATTTCCAGAACCTTTTAGAGATTCAAAAACTTTTTAGAAATCCAAAGAAGAATTTTAAAAGATTTACTTATTTATCATTTATACAGTATTCTGCCTGCATGTGTGCCAGCCGGTCAGAAGAGGACACCAGATCTCATTATAGACGGTCATGAACCACTATGTGGTTGCTGGGAATTGAACTCTAGAAAGAATGGTCAGTGCTCTTAACCTCCGAGCCATCTCTCCAGCACCAATTTTTCTTTCTTTTCTTTGTCTTTTTTTTAGTGTTTCGAGACAGGATTTCTCTGTGGATAGCCCTAGCTGTCTTGGAACTCTGCAAACCAGGCTGGCCTAGAACGCATGGAGAGCCACCTGCCTCTGTCTCCTGAGTGCTGAGATTAAAGGCATGTACCACCATCTCCCGGCCAAAGTAATTTTTCTAAAAACAAACACCTCAAAAGGTAGGTGCCAAAGGCACTTCTGGCCACCTGAGGAGAGTCTGTCTGAAGTAAGGTTTGAAAGAAAAGCTGTCCCCTTGGCCCTCAGCTCAGGCCTCCAGTTCCATGTGTACAGCTTCCCTCTTTCTCATCTCTTAAACCATTCATGTGAATGTAAAATACCTGGAGGACCCAAAACTCATGAGGAAACAGGCTCGGAAGTATTTGTCCGGCTCGTGCAGCAACGAGGGAAGAGTCGCATCCTGTTGTGAGCTCCAGCCTCAGACTCTTAATAATGGTGGGAGTGGTGTTTAGTTAGGTCAAGGTTAGTTAAGGACTCACAAGGTTGGCAGTCCCCTCTAGACCAGGGCCCAGGAAGGCCTGGCCAGGTGGGGTCACTACAGCCAGCTCTATTCAGAAAAGGGCCTGGCATAGTGGACCCTCTTCCCAGCACTTCTTCACAGATCAGCTCCGCGGAGCAGCAGTAACATGAACTGTAGCAGGCGTGAGACCCTTGTACTCCACCCCAACTGTGGCTTCCGGCTTCAGAAGTGCATGGTCCCAGCGGGGATCTGGGAGCATGGCAAGTGTCCAGCTGTTATCTGTAGGTACAGTTCAAGGCCAAATGCCGCCAGGAGAAGTAGAGGACCCTTCTCTGATCTCTCCAGCTGCTGTCTTGGTTTCAACTCCTTTCAGTGGGAAATCAGATCTTTTGTCTTGCTTTTTAATTTTTGTTTGTTTGTTGAGATAGGGTCTCTCTCTATAGTCCTGGCTGTTCCCTAGAGAGCCCTGGAGATCACTCTGTAGACCAGGCTGGCCTCCAACTTACAGCCAGCCACCTGCTTCTGTCTCCCGAGTGCTGGGATTAAGAGGATGTTAGAGGTCCAGGAGCTACAGTTACAGGTGCTTGTGAGCTGCCCAGTGTGGACCCACGTGTTGTGATGTACACACAACTGTATAATGATGACTCATTACTCCCAGGTGTCACTAACACGTGGCAATTAATACAAATACAGCTCTAGCTTTTCCTGAAAACCCTGGCCAGGGGATAGCTGAGTAAAACAAAAGCTAGTGGAGAAGCAAACACAACTCACAGCCTTTACATCTGATAAAACCGCAAGCAATGTTTCTTTCCACTAAATATGTCAAAAACAAAGATCCCTGAAAAAAAATATTTGCAGGCCAAGCATGGTGCTACATGTCTAACCGCAACATTTGAGACAGAGGCAGGAGGATTACGAGCTCAAGGGCATACATGCCTGGCTATATGGCATGTTCAAGGCCAGTCTAAACTGTATGAAATCCCCTTAAAAAAAAGGTGGTAGCTGCCACGGACTGACCCAGTCGGGTTCCACAACCGAGGGAGAATCAGGGTTTTGGATATTCAGGAAGGCACAGTTTCGGCGATTGACAGACAGACACGACACCGAGGAGGCTTTGAATGTGCTGCAGTTTTACTGAAGTCAAGCTAATAATTTTATAGTAATTACATAAGGAAACACCTTAAAGTTGGCATACTTCCCGGAACATTTAGACTTTTACCAAGAATACAAAGTTTACATTTTAACATAGGGCAGTGCCCACAAGAAATCTTGGCCTGAGAACTTTTGATCAAAGCAGACAAAGGACAAAAAACCTTAAACTGAAGTTTCATTATTGATAACTAGTGAAGAGGAAAGTCAGGAGCTGTAATAGTCCTCCGAGCCAGGTCAGATACCTGCCAAAGTCTAAATACACCTTTGTTAACAAAGTCTGTATCAAAGTCTAAATACACCTTTGTTAACCATCCTCCCATATATCTTGCTAAAGATTTACAATCCTCCTTAGAGATAAGATGCCAAGGGGGACACACTCAAGCCAGCTGTACTTTCCCATGCTATCTTTTTCTAAAGAGGAGCCCACTATTTTTTCGCTATTCTTGTAATGCTTTCTGATACTGAATCTGATTCATTACTTCTCTTAAGATTTTATTTTTCTTCCACTTTATTCTTGCTAAAGCTTTTAATAATCTATCAAAGATATGTTTCCTTGAATAGTTAATTGTGCTGTTCCAAGAGTCATAGAGAAAGAACAAAAGGCTCATTAATCCAACCCCGAAACCAAGGAAGCGTAGGAATCTTGGAGTACATCTTTTTTGGCTTAGGTGGCCAGGGGCAAGCACTTTGCCAGAGACCTCCAGGGAGCTTATTCCTGAGGGAAACGTATCTCCTGTCCAGCAGCATGACCATTGTCATGCTACACAGACGATACTGGAGTTGGTGTGGTAGATAGCCAGGCACTGTGGTGCACTCCTCTAATCCCAGAACTCTGGGAGTTAGGTGAATCTCTGAGTTCAAGGCCAGCCTGGTCTACAAAAGGGAGTCCAGGACAGGCAAGGGTACACAGAGAAACCCTGTCTCACAACAACAACACAAACAAACAAAAACAAAGAAGACGAAGAAAGAAGAACAAAGGAGGAGGAGGGGAAGGAGAAGGAAGGGAAGGGAAAGAAGTCGAAGAAGAAGGAGGATAGGTGGTGGTTGGACATGGTGAACTTAGCTGTGAGACAAACACCATCAGTGACCCCTGGTGGTAAAAAGGGAACTCTGGCATTGTAAGTACCCTAGGTGGAAGCTTGGGCTAGCTTGGCTGCCTTGCTCATTGGCAAGCACAGAACTTTCCTCTCCTCCCCCACTTAACCTGCACCACCCCTCCTTGCCACCCCCAGGCTGCCTCTGCCACCTTGTGTAGTCTAAGGCTTAGCTGACTGTCAGCCTTGGTGCCTCTCCTTGATGGTACCGCCACCGCCGCCACCTGTAACCATGCGGTACTCTGGCTCTGAGAGCTGGTCCCTCTCCACCTTGAACATGTCCGTGGTGCTTTCCACTCGACCTTAGGTTCCTTAGAAGCAGGCCATGTCTTAGACATCTTGTGCCGAGTGAAGAGGAAAGTACCCCTTCTGCCATATGCAGACCGTCCCCTAGTGCCACTGGAAAGGAACACGGTATAAGATTAGACTTGGTTCAAGGAGTTCCGGTGCCTTGAAAAATGGTGAGATCTGGAAAACTGGTGTGGCTCACACCAACAGAGAGTCACACCTCAAAATAAAACCAAGAGGCAGGCACTCACCAACCCCAAAGGACAGCCACCAGACCAAGGCTAGGCCTGTCAGTGCTGGAGATTTGACGTGGGGGCTGCAGGGAGACTTAGAACCATCTTCACAGCTCCATGGTTCTACCAGGCTGCTGGACCTGTGCTGCCTTGAGTAGTCACTTTTTGTGTCAAAGAACAGGCGTGTGTGTTTGGGGGGGGGGGCAGAATGTCCAGAGGCTAATTATGAAAGACAAAACCTTTGAAAGTTGCACTAGCCAAGGCCTGGCGGTACAAACTTTTAATCCCAATAGTTCTAGCTCTGGAGAGGCAGAGGCCGCCTCTGGCCCATCAAACAAGCACTTAACCACTGGATACCACAGTCCTACGTAGCTCTGGCTGGACTGGAACTCAGTATGTAGATCAGGGTGGTCTTGAACGCAGAGAGATCCTGCTGCCTCCTGCGTGCTGGGATTAAAGGTGTGTGTCACCACACTGAGTTTCCAGCATTAGGCATGCTCAAAGTGGATATTGGGAACCCTCAGGCCTCTGTATGAACAACCACACCCAGCTTGTATTTATTCACTTTTCGTGGAGGCTGATGCTTTCTTCCACCCACTGGACCCCGGGATCCAAGTGGGATCACCAGGTTTGGTGGTGCATATTTTCACCCACGGATCCCACTAACCTCTGGAAAGCTCCAGAATAGAAGTAATCCAGGATCTGTTGGACAATGTCCATCCAAGCTACTCTTCTGCGCTGTGTAAATGCAGCCACAGGCGGGCCAATATGTAAATAAGGCCGTGGTCCGATGAAGCTTGATCAAAACAGTAGCCGGTTTCACCTATGGTGGCCGTGTGCTCCTCGTGGCCAAAGTTTGGTGGCCGTGAGGCAAAGGAAAAGAGAGCACGGAGACGTCACATCGTAGTTCTA